GGAGGATGGAGTCGAAACTTCAATTCTTGTAAGTACAATGCACTTTCATTTAAGTTTCGACTCACCTCTCGCATTTGCACCTGGGGTCCCCTTCGAAGGCGAGACCCCTCGCCGACCGTTCGATGGACTGCATCGACGGTGCCGATGTTATCGCGGGGGCAAACGGCCTCGACCTCGCGAACGCGTCACTTCTGGCGGAACACTCCCTGCGACATTCGGAGAAGGTCGCAGTTCGCCACAACACTTGGAGTTGCGCGGAAATCTGCGGAGCTTCGACCGACAACATCCGTCCAATGGAGATTCAACGCTTTAGACCGACCGAGGCAAAAACGAAACGTTCTGAGTGAGTTCGAGTTTGAGCGCGAATGGGAACGGGACCTCGCAAGCCGCGAAATTCTTCAGAGCGTCCAATCGTTCGACAGCCGACATCGACGACTGAGAATTGCTGCATGAAACGATTCCAATCGGGCACCAAAAGCTTCTGAACGCGACTCAGGAATCTCTTTAGATCGCTTGGATTTTGGACCATCGGATTGACTTCTGCTACAACGGACGAGATGGAGCACGACTTCTGCACAAAGGGAGAATGACGCGCAGAACCAGAAAACAGCCGCTTTCGACACCGCTGACATCATCTGGACAGCCAGATTCGAATTCCTTCATTTGGTGACGAATATGGCGCGCCAATCATCTGCAGAGTCAGAAATCTGCCAGAGTATTACCTACTTGATAATAGCTGCAAGCAGAAAACTGACAGGAGAACGTGGATTGTCGGATCTGTGCGGAATCAACGGCACGAATGCAGCTGAGACAACACTACGGAAAATCATCATCATGGAGACAACATTCGTGACCAGCAACTGCACAATCGACTCATCTTCCGACTAGTGTCGATAACGATCTACCTATTTTGACGAGTCAATTTCATTAAAAATGGATCGACATCAACACAGCAAGATCTTCACCCAGGAATAACAATGGAGCTGCGTGAAGACATGTTCTCCATCCATGAGACACTTCATCTCAAAAATTGGATCGACAAGCTCTGGGATTGCAGAGAAGTAGCCGTTTTCTCTTGCAATATTCCCAACATCAAGTTGCTGCGAAGGAGCAGATTTCGCACGCAACGACGACGCAGTCAACCCGTCTCGTCAAGGCCAGCAAGACACTACTTTGTAACAGGAGCTGATCGATTCGTCTTCATCAAGAATCTCAGCCATCCGAAGTGATTGATTGGAGCAGTCTGAACATCGACCTTACGAGGCGACACACCAATCATGCGTCACGATTCCAGGGGTTAATGACCTGCGTGGAAAATTTTCCGTGCATGTCACGATGCTTGACAGATTGAGGAGTAATTAACCTCTAATCCGGCAAGTACTCGCTCACTAGCGACCCTACGGCACATGCATTGGAGGCGATTCTACCAGAAGCCGAAGCGTTACAAGCATCAGCGTAACTTCGACGATGCAGGAGAATGCCAAGCAATACAAGGTGTCAACAAATGAGGGAGATGCGGACTACTACAACACGATCACGTGCTCTACCGATCGTACATCGGAGGCACGGATGAGCAAACTAGGAATTGCTACCCGTGGATACATTGAGGGGAGAAGCAAATTCTCCGCTCAATGGAGATAACACTGGATTATATTCCATTATGATCATAAAGATCCGGCCAGGCACAATACTATGATTTCCAGCTAGTGGCTGTCACTATGCAAACCTTATTCGATCTTGTGACAGCCACCACCCAACGTCACGCCACGCGCATGACCAGCGTGACCGCCGCCACCGCCAGCTCCAGGCCACCCGGGCGGGAGACGACCAGCTCGCTGCTGCTGCTGCTGACGCGGCGGCTGGTACTGCTGCTGCGGCTGCTGCTGATCCTGCGGTGGAACTGGCTGCTGCTGCTGACCCAGCACCCTCCTCCGCACCCCCTGCAGGCAACCCTGCGACAGCACCTCCTCCACCTACACTGCCACCACTACCACGACCGCGCCCAGCCTTGGGGCGGCGGCCCTTTCCCGGACGAAACTGCACTGCAGCGGTTGTCTCAGCCACAGCAGCAGAGCCGTCAGAGAAATTGCAGTGAGCGGGCGCACAGCCCTGAAAGATAGAGACCGGCATAGTACCGCTGGACTGGGTGATAGAGCGCTGTCGGGTCTCTATGGCTGACAGGGTGTCGACAAAGTCAGTGAGGGTGAGGTCGGCGGGGTGGAGACTAAGAAAGCGATCGCGAGCAGTAGCAAGGCGGTCAGGGAGGCGGGTGGCAAGCAGGGAGTGGATAGCACAGAGGGGGGGCTGGAACACGCGGAGCTGGGCCTCAGTGCAGGCAGAGTGCCAGGTCGAGTCTAGCGTGCGCAAGTGGGCGGCTAGATCAGCGACAGTGGGGAAAGACGCGAGGTCAGGAAACAGCAGAGGCAGGATCAGGCGACCGACGGAGGCAGAAGACGGAGTGGAATAGCGCTCAATAACAGCATCTAGGAATTCCTGGGCTGTCCTAACCGACTTAAAGCGAGGACGCTCAGACAGGGGAAGGGCATGACTGATGGCTAGCTGTGCAACAGCGTCACGCGACAACCAGACCGAGCGGGCAAGGGCTGCAGCAGCAGCGGACTCACGCTCAGCAGACGTGGGGTCAGCGGGCAGCGTAGCAGGGGGGTCAGGACAGGGAAGCATACCGTCGAGGTGGACAGCCAAGGAGTGGCCGTCCTGCCGCTGCCCAGTGAGGTGACGGCGGAGGTCGACGAGCCACGTATCGAACTCGATCGGCTGACCCTCCGCGTCAAACCGCAGCACAGAGTCCAACATCAGTGGCGATGCAGCTGCGATGCAGGGCGGTGCAGTGCGGTGAAGTGCGGTGCAGGGCGGTGCAGTATGGTGTAGTGCGGTGCAGTGGGGTGCAGTGCGGTGCAGTGTGGTGACGGGTGGTGCAGTGCGGTGCAGTGTAGTGCAGGAGCCGGCTGCACGTGACGTGCAGCTGGGCATCAGGGCCGGGTGCGGAGAGCAAGCCGGTGCAGGCCAGAGCGGGGCGGGGACGGGCCGGCGCCGAACGGGTGCGGGGGCCGGCTACAGACGGGCGCGGGGGCCGGCTACGGACGGGCGCGGGGGCCGGCCACGGAAAGGCGCGGGGGCCAGCTACGGACAGGCGCAGGGGCTGGCTAGGGCGGACACGGGGGGGGCTATCGGATGGGCGCGGGGGGGGGTGCGACGGGCAGGCGCGGGGATCGTAACGGGCGGGCGCGGGAGCCGGCTACGAGGAGGGCGCAGGCCGGGGATGGGACGGGCCGGCTACGGGACGAGCGCGAGACGGGGCCGCCTAAGGGACGGGCACGGGGCCGGCTACAAGGAGGGCGCGGGGCCCGTTACGAGGAAGGCGCGGGCCGGCTACGAGGAGGGCACGGGGCCGGCTACGAGGAGGGCGGGGGCCGGCTACGAGGAGGGCGCGGGCCGGCTACGAGGAGAGCGCGGGGCCGGCTACGAGGAGGGCGCGGGCTAGCGACGGGGCGGGCATGGGGCCGGCTAGGCGACGGGCGCGGCTACGGGACGAGCGCGGGCCGGCTACGGGACGGGCGCGGGCTGGCTACGGGACAGGCGCGGGACAGGCGCGGGCCGGCTACGGGACGGGTGCGGGCCGGCTAAGGGGAACGGGCTGGCTATGAGGAGGGCGCGGGCCGGCTACAAGGAGGGCGCGGGGCCGGCTACGAGGAGGGCGCGGGCACGGGACGGGCGCGGGCCGGCTACGGGACGGGCACGGGACGGGCGCTGGCCGGCTACGGGACGGGCGCTGGCCGGCTACGGGACGGGCGCGGGCCGGCTAGGGGGAACGGGCCGGCTAGGGGGAACAGGCCGGCTAGGGGGGAACGGGCGGCTAGGACCTAGGGCGGAAGCGCGGGTGGGCGAACGGGACCTAACCTACTCATGATACCATGTTTGAATAATGGAATGAACTAGAATGAGAGAGTATAAGAGAATATAGGCTAGTGTTGTACCCTCTAAGGCACAAACCTATACAGTCTACAATAACATACTAAGATATGTTTTGACACAAAGTAATCCTGAAATAACGAGAGATTTTCCAGGGAATGCTGAATTTTCAGGATCTATAGTGATGCGAATCCTGAGACCGCTGGGTCTTTAAAAATGGAAAATTAGCCCTGCTCCAGACAGTGTGCTTTGGATTCTTGGTTGGCAAGAACCCAGCTTTAGCGAGCTTGACGACCTCGAGCGACATGTTGATGGGTGAGCTGTTGCGCGAAGCTTTCAACCTGGCCTGGGCGTGGCCCCGATTAGGCGGCACCGCTGCATTGACTCCGCATTTTGTTCCAATTTCGTATCAGCTCTTCTAGCTCGCCAAATATCGACCTCCTTAGGGCATGTCCAAAGTGGGATGTCGGGGGATGTCGAGGTAGGTAGGCAAGGGGATTGAAGGGGGCCCACATCTCCAGAGTAGCCCCGACATCCACTCTCGCCAATCTAATCTTCTGATCTAGTCCCTCTAGACTAGATCAGCCCTCGCCAAGAGAACGCACATAGCACCAAACTGAAGTGCATGAAACTCAGTAGCTCACCTTAAATTGGAGAAGTGGCTCTTTTATTTATTCTTAATTTTTCCCTTATAAAATTTCCATAAAACTAGAAAGAGAAGACTCCATAGGTCCAACGGCGTGGGAAAGGGGGCCTGGTTTCCTCCTGGGATCTCCTTAAAGCCCAAAACAATAATAAAAATCCATAGGTTCCAATTGTACGTATAGCGGAAGGTGGTATTCTAGAATCTGACTTGTGTTATGGTGGCTGACCAATAGCGAGCTTCGAACCACGCGTTTCGCTGGTGAGGGTGAGGGGAACCAACCAGCGCCATGACCCCATCCCACCGCGCTCCACTCCATATTCTCACGCCTGCGCCACGCACCGCACGTCACCACACCTTTGTTTCATTTGCTCCCACTTGTGAGCAACTGGGAGTCCCAGCGTGCGACTCTCATACTGGGGAACGATTTACCTCGTGTGACCGTCCAGACTCCAGACCTAGATCCGAGCCACCACTCGCGGCAGTCTCTGAGGCGGTAGAATCTGTTCTCGTTGCGCGAAGACAGCAGCAGCGTGCGTGCAGCTAAAATTCCTGAGCTCTGCGCGCGTCGAGCTCGTTACCGCTAGTCGATCTGTCGTCTCATTCGCTCGGCTCATGGTGGCGGCGGCTCTGCGGCGATAGCCATGCCGTACATCCGACGAGGTGGGCTTTTTAGGTTGTTGGCCATTTCGCTTTGCTTCTCTAGATTGTCTCTCTCGCGGTGGAAAACGAGATCTGGTGGGAAAGGCTTCCTAGGTTCGCAGGGAGGGAAGTGTTGAAAGCGAGCACGCGACGTGACCGTACCATTTGCGTGACGGATAACTCGTATCCGACAAGCCACGGCCACCCTTCTTTAATCCGGCGTCCTGGCTCTCTTTTATCCGCAAAGTCTTGTGTTGCTCATCCGATGACGGCTTGTTCATCCGATGACGGCTTGTTCATCCGATGACGGCTTGTTCATCCGATGACGGCGTGCTAAGCTGCGAAGTATTCCGCCGCAGCTGCCAGCAGCGTCACACCAGCACCCACCCCTCCGTGCTCGTCTATCCGCCGTCGTCTCTCCGCCTCTTCTTTTCGTCCGTTGGCTTCCTCTCCGTGCGTCCCGTCCCCTCTTCCCCTCTTGCTCCACACCCCCCCCTCTCGCATCTCTCCTTCCCTTTTCCTTATCTCCTCCCTCTCTCTTGCTCTCTCTCACTCACCCACTGTCACTTCCTTCTCTCTAAAACGAGTCAGCGGATCACCTGTCACCATGGCAGCGCGCCGCTTATGTCGTCTTCTCATCACCCTCTCCTGTCCTTCCCTCCCTGCCCTTCCCCCTTCCCGCTCCTGTCCTGCCCTTCCTTCCCTTCCGTCCCTCTCCTGTTCGTCGCTCACACCAGGCGAGTTGGAGGAATGCCTGTCCCCGTGGCAGCTCGCCCTCTATGTCGACTTCTTATCTCCCCTTCCTGTCCTTCCTATATCCCTCTCCGTCCCTTCCTCCCCCCCCTCTCCCCCGCCTCCCCTCCTCTCCTTTCCCCCACTTTCCCCCCCTCCTCTCCCTCCTCCCTCTCCTCCTGTTCTCCAGGCGAGGTGGTGGACCACCTTTCCCCGTGGCAGCCCGCCTTATACGTCGACTTGGTGTCGCTCTTGCCCTCGTCCCCCGCCCTCCAAATCCCACCCACCCTCTCTCTCCTCCTTCCCATCCTCTCCGCCAGGCGAGGTGGTGGACCACCTCTCCCCGTGGCAGCTCGCCTACTATGTCGAGTTCTTCCGCCACCTCTTCCGCCTCATCAAGATGTTCTTCTACACCCTCTTCTCGGTATGCTTTCCTTCAGCCCCCTTCCCAAGTTCTCGTCGCTGCATCGTGCGCTGCACTCGGCTCCCCTATTCTCCTTTCGCTCGTGCCAGCATTTTCTGCTCTGCGATAATCCCGCACCGAATTGGTTCCCCCCTAGTTTGTTCTCATGAGGGGGATGAAGAGCATTGCAGATGCAATGCGGCATGCGATAAGGGAAGGAGAGTGGTCGCAACTCACTCGTCTCGTTCTCGCCCCTTGTCCCATTCCTTGTTTCCATGTCCCCCCAGCCTGACGCAGCAGGAGTGAAGAAGACCAAGGGCAGGGGCGGGGGAGGCCAGGGGGCATGGGGGGGTAGCTCTGGGGGCGGAGGGGGCGGAGGGGGAGGCGGAGGGGGAGGGGGAGGAGGCGGTGCTAGGAGGGGAGTTGGAGGGATGGGCAACGTCCGGGGCATTGATCACTGTGAGTGGATGCTGTTGGCGGAGCAGTTTCTTTCTATGATCCTCCACATGCATGCTCATGGCACGTCGATATAATGTATTTTGACGTATGGCGAGCGGATTGGTGCGCGCTGTAATGGCAGCTAATGTGCCACTGCAGCTGGCACGGGATAGTCTGTGTGGGGTTGAGCTGGCATGGGATAGTCTGTGTGGGGTTGAGCTGGCACGGGATATGCTGTGTGTGAACGAGTCATGCGTGGGCGTGCGTGGAAGAGGAGGGGTTCTAGGAAGGGACGAGTGGAGACAAAAATTGGGTTCTCCCCCTGCTAATTATTGCTTGCCTCTCCTTTCACCATCCCCCCCCCACCTCCTTGGCTGTATTGTGTGGATCTCTGCTGTAGCTGCACTTCACAGCCCCCACCTCCTCTGCTTCCCTCTCATGCGCTCCTCTCTCTCCTCTCTCCCCCATGCAGGTGCCTCTGCTGCAGGTGCCTGAGGTCGGTAAGGCACTCCGCCTGCTGCTGCTGACACCGGCCTCTTCTCTCTTGCTCTCCTTACTGCAACCCAGCCCCCTCGCCAAGGCCCCTCAAAGCAACACTTGGGGGCCTTGGAGGGGGGAGGGCTGCAAGGGCGGAGTGAGATGAGATAGGAGGGAGGTGTCAGAGTAGCCACACGCTCGTCTCATGTGCTGCTGCTGCTGTGCATGCATGCATGTTCGTAGATGCATGTGCTGCATGCGCACTGGCAGCACGTGGGCACGAGTGTGTGAGTGTGGAGTGCCGCGATCTCGCTACCGGCAGCGGGTGTCTGCTGCTGGTGCTGACAGCTGGAAAGCAGAGTCAAGCGGACCTGCAGTCATGCCTGCACTCACGGCATCATGCAGAGCACTTGTGCAATGATGCTGTGATGTGTTGGTGCCTGCAGCCGTCGGGCCATTTGCAGTGTTTATGACGCGGCCATGGGAAAGCCTTCAACAGGCACCACGGCTGCTGAACCACCACTGCAAGTGGACTGCTGCCACCAGACTGAGGAGTGGAGGGAGAGAGGAGAGTGCATTCTGTGGGGCAGAGAGGGTGCTGCGGATGGTGTATTCTCAGCTGTACAGAAGAATACAGAAGAGAAGAGAATGGCGTGGGTGATCTCACGTGATTGGCCAGCCAGCCGTCACTTTTGGCAGGCTTCTCCGTGCGGTACGGCTGCGAACAAGGCTTGGATGGGCGCAGCAGGAGGTACCGAAAGAGCAGATACGTGTGAATTGTGATTCATATTGGACTTGGTCAGTGCCAGAGAGAATTCTTGCCCCAAGGTTGGTTTGGTAAATTTCCAAATGCCTCAAGTACTTATTAAAGCGAGCGGACAGACCAAACTCAAGACTCAAAGGCAGGCCTCTGGATAGGATTCGAAGTACTTTTTCTTGTAAGGGTACTCGCTTGCTGCCACTTTTTCTGTAAGGGTATTTTTTTTAGCTACTTTGTAATATAAGGGTCCTAAATATTTGTACTTTTTCACATAAGGGTATAACTCCAGCGCAGCCTTACGCTTTACTGTAGTTACAGGATCTCGCATGATCAGACGACTGACGTGTTGTAGATACTGTATGATGTGACGACGTGCCTTGGGTGGCACTCGACAGGGTGCACCAAGATTTTTGGTTGTTAGTGCTGAAGTGGAGGGAATGTCGCACCTCGGTAATTTTGCTGTTAGTGCGTATTTCTACATTAGAGCGTTCAGTACCAGGGAAGCAAACTTCGCGAAATACCAAATCAAACCGAACAGGAATTCGCGTTTTGACCCTCGGACCTCACTGTTTCGCGTTTCAGAGTCCATTTCGGGTTTGCTGGTACTGATTACTATCTTGTAGAAATACGACCTCATTCCCAAGACCCTTCCTGGTCTCGACCTGATTTCCCGTTAGTGCCCCACTCGGTTTTTTCTTTTCTTTCTTTCTTTAATTTCTTTTAACGAATGTAGTGGCGGATACGACTCTACCAACACGAATTATACATTCAAAATGACAGGTTTTGTAACTGTGCGCATGAATTCCTGGATGAGTGGCAGCCATAAAAAGCGTAAACCATTAGCAGAAGAAATTGACGACGTGATCCCCGTCGTGCGCGGGCAGGGGCCAGGTAAAAACCTGTAAATTCAAGTCGCCGATATTTCGTAGGCGCGACATTCCCTCGCCGAAATGGGTAGGGGGGAAAAGATGGTTTGACATATCACGTCCAGGGCTTTCTTTTCGTTTCAGGCTACCCTGTAATTTCAAGGTAGTTTCAGGGCTTTCTTTTCGTTTCAGGACTGTCTCTCTTAGTGGGGGACTTAGCCGAATCCTCTGGGTTGCAGTAGCTTTGTCTCTGCCAGTGGGGGACTTCACCAATTTTTCGGGGTCGCTCGAGGGCTGTGGGAGGAATGCCTTTGGCAGTGGGGGACTTAGCCGAAATCTTGGGTTGCGGGGGGTATAGGAGGAATAACTCTCGGATTGGGGGGGGACTTAGCCGAAATCTACAGGTTGCCAAGGGGATCAATGATTACAGCGGGGGATCGCATGTGTGATTGTGTAAGGGTGATTTTACACAACACTTTTCCGCATCAGGGTGCTAACGCTGCACCACTTTTCAAAATCAGGGTCCGGTACAAATTTAGTTTTTTTCATAAGGGTCCAAAACTAAACCACTTTTAAATATAAGGGTCCAACACCAACCCCAGCCTTATAGTAAGGGCCGTAAGGGTATTTTACCCTGATATCCTGAGGCCTGCTCAAAGGTTTTGAGTTGTACTAAACATGAAAAAGGGCGTGACAGAAACACGGTAACCAAATACCCACCCGAGAGGTGCGATTTTGAGATTGGGGGGAGGTGACATGCTATGTGATGCCCACCCCAACCAGGGCCTCAGATTGATTTTAAGGTACCCTGATTGCTCAGGGTCCCCCCCCCCCTTGTTCCCTGATTTTTCCGCTGAGCTGACAGAGGTGGCCAAAAAAAAATTCCTGAGTTACTAACAGGGTTGCACGCTAGAATGGCGCTGAACATGAACACCAGGGCTCCTGCTAGTTTTTAGGGCAGTCTGAAAATCAGACGGGTACTTAGAGCTTCGTCTGACCGTCAGACGGTCTTTTTTTGCCTGTCTTACGATTAAGACGAAATGCAAGCACGTGTCTGAGAATTCAGACTGTTTATGTGCGCTGGACTGTTTTGCTGCCGCGCTCGGGGTAGAATTGAATGCGCGTGCTGCGGTGCACGTGGGACCAGGTGGCAGGCAGTGGCCCAGTGGGCATGTGGACTCGTAGTGGCCCTGCTGCTAGAAGGGTGGGTTTGTCGGTATCAGACGGAAAAAAACGGCCGGTCTGATAAATCAGATGAATGTGTACACCTGGTCTGATGTTTCAGACGAATTCTTAACTTGTCTGAACAATCAGACGAATATATTTGGCTCGTCAAAAAATAAGATAAAACATAAAAACCCGGTCTGATTTTCAGACCATCAGACCGATTTGGTCAGATAACGGGAGCCCTGATGAACACTAGCAATTTTTAGAAACAAGCATAAAATATATATCATCTACTTAAGCATCCTCCTCCTCATCCTCCTCAGCTCTACTATCATGGGTTTCTTGAGGCACGTCTTCAACTAGTTCCTTTCCCTTGCAGCTCTTCTGGGCCCTGCTCTGTGGGGCGCAGCTATACGGCTTTCTCTTCTTGTAAGCTCTCTAGATCTCTATCGCGGCGTCCCAGTCCGGCTCGTAATCTAACAAACTCATGCACATTAAATCTCCTAGGCGAGAGTCCTTCAAGGTGCCACGCAACCATCTTTTTATGACGTTCTGGCGGGAGAACCCGCGCTCGCACTCCACTGTACTCAAAGGAAGAACCGCCGTTGCACACCACAGCTTTACAAGGTTGGGGTAGCTGTGCTCCCAGTCCGGTGTCTTCGGAATGGTCGTCAGCCCTGTGAAGAATCCCTTCTCGCCCTGCGGCAGAGCTGCAATGACGGGGGTGAAGTGGGGAATCTCCTTCACGGCCGCTTGCGTGTCAATGCCTGTCAACGAGGTAAGGGGAAGTAAAGCAATCGTGTTAGATTTCGGTGCTTGATAACACAAAAGACCACTTGAATTGAGCTAAACCCATACCTGGTAAGACCTCTTCAGCTCCCTCCGCGTGGTACAGAAGGACAAGGGAATGGAACCACTCGATGCACTGCTTGATCCTGGCCGCACGTGCCCATTGCAACGGCCACTGGTCTGCACAAAACAGCATGACGCCACTTAACTGCTTTAGGTCACCCAGCCGCTCCTCCAAATTGTTGGCCATGCCCTCCGCCATTGCCATGCACAGCGTAACGCAGTCATCGTGCTTCCCCTCGCCCGGATAGCCGAAGTCCTTCGTGTGCAGGATGAAGCTGAACCGCCGCGGGCGACCGTCTGAGTCAATACCCTCAACGGTGACGCATCGCAAACCGGAAGGGCCGTGAAAGGTAAGGAACTCCGTGAGCCGGTCTTTCGGCGCCCCGTTGAAGTCATCGCCGCAGTCGACGTAGCGGCTTAGGACCAGGGACTTCACGCGAGCGATGGACGAGTGGACGGTGGAGATGTCCAGCTGCAAGGAGGGGGTGGTGCACACAGGTAAGGCACAGAAAGATGTCAGTCCAGTAGTTTAGCAAAGACACAGTAAGTTTACCTGACGTGCCTGGAAGATCTTGTTGAGCGTGTTCATCTGCTCAAGCACATCTGCCAGAAACATCAAGAGAAACCAGAAACGATAGCTGGTAACAATGGTATACAGCCTATCGTCTGGGAACTTAGACAGCATCACGATGATTGTCGGCAACACCTTCACCAACCGTTGGATGGCATCCCCCCAGGAAAGCCACCTAACGTAGTGAATACCCTGCAGCTCAAGCGCCGTCGAGAGGAAGACATCCTGAAGCTCGAGAAAGCGTTCATGCCACGGCCCCGAGCGTCCGAGGAACTCAGCGAGCTCTCGGATGACATCGTCGATCATCATGAAGGCGGGGAGGTCATCGGCTGCGGTTTTGGCGGCCAGAGCCTCACTGCGCAAGGACGTGCACAGAACATGAACAATTGAAGGGAGAGTTAGACAAGGCAACACATACATGGGCCGAAATACGAATGCAAAAAATCACATGGTTACCGATGCGCTATGCAGTGGCAGGAGACGAGGTGACGAATGCGCAGTCGGAGACGAGTAACAAGTCCAGACTTCGCGCCCATCATCACTGCTGCCCCGTCAGTGCTGATGCCAGAGATCCGACGAAGATCCACTCCGACGGAGAGCAGCAACGCCAGAAGGGATGCAGCGTCCGCCTTGTCGACTGTAAGAAGAGCCAGGTACTCCGTGACCACCCGACGCTCACGAAGGAAGGTCGCGAACACGATCATGTGCTTCCCCCGGCACCTATCCGTGCTCTCGTCCAGGCTGAGCCCGATGAACGGGCTCCGCAGAAGATGCTCCAGTTGCGCTGTCTGAAGCCATGTAGCCGTGGCCTGCGTAAATTCTCCGAAGCCGTACCTACAAACGGAGAAGAAATGGAGTTAGAGTAGTCGCATTAAAAAACACCAAGGACCAGTCATTCAATTTGACGACTCACGAGTTCAGGTAGGTGCCGTAACCTTCCTCGGGGACGTTTTTGTAGAACCGAGAGGCGAGGTAGCGTGCAAATGTGATCCACGTCTCCATCGGTTCGTTCGTCCTGCAGCAGAGGTAGAGAGAATCGAGAAGCGCCGTCAACCGTTCCTTCTCAAGATCAGCGGCACGGGGATTCTGGTCGATCCTCGTCTGCGTCGTTGCCTCCTACAACAGAGCAGCCTGCTTCCCGTAGGCGAGACGATGCTTCCCACTGCCGGCGTGTCTGGTGAAGGCTTGTGTCTCGGCGTCCGAGAGACCAGGGCCACGGCGTCCGCTCTTCCCTGAGAGACCTGCATGGTCCATACACAACTGACACTTGAAGGCAGGGAGGCCTTCTTCAGTCTTGACAAGCAAAAGCCAAGGAAAAGCGTCGCTCCATTTTTTCTTGTATTTACTGAGCGCCTCTGCGTACTGCTCAGTCGGGGTTCTCGCCTTCTTCGTAGTCGTCGGTGTGTTGTCCTCTGACTCAGCATCATCGGAAGCGGGGCTGGACGGCAAAGACACTTCGCTAGCCTGTTTGGGCCGCGCGAATGGGAGAACAGCCTGACAGTAGCGCCCAGGGCGCTTAGCAGGTCCAGCTGTGGGCAACAGATGCTCGGCAGGAGCAGGCGTGGAGGGACCGGGCTTAGGATTAGGGACATGCTCTATGACTGCAGCGGATACGGAATCGCCGGCGGTTTTAACGTCTCGTTCTTCCTGGCCGAGACGTGCGGTTCCTCTAAGAGGCATACGCGTAAGGCTAGATAAAGTCGAGAGCAACAGGTCCAGGCCAGTGGTGAGGTCCGCACGCTGGCCATCACCTGCATCACCATCGGCTAGTTCCCCGTCGATTGGCTCTCCCATGACGGGG